GCCCCATGACTGTGACCCTTGGTTTGCGACTATACGATGCACCTCTTGGTATGCAACCATGTCATATCGGACCGTGTACAGCTGCCACTGCAGACCCACACGGGACCTTGTAGAAAACAAAGTGTCTATAACATGCCCCTGACTTCCTAGAAAGGGGGCTCAGTCTTGGGATGGGAATCTGCTGAGTCAGCACCGTGCACCAAACCTGCTTCTTGTTGGCCCCTGGTGTCCACGTTTCCGGTGTGGCATGTAACAGAGAAATGGTTTGTATATCAAATCATCTCATTTTAAGCCTCCACTGCTGATTTCCCCTAAAAATGACAAGTTCTCTCTTTTGTGTCTGTATTTAAATAAAGTACAAAGACAAATTCTATCGAGTAATTTTTAAAAAATCCAAAACCGGGACCTTCCCTGGTGGTGCGACAGGTTAGGATGCAGCACTGCAAGCTAGCAGCAGCCACTTCAGTACTAGTTTGATCCCCGCCTCAGAGGTGACCCACATGGTGCGGCAGACCTCTCCCGTGTCCTCTGCTGCTCCCCTCAGCAGTGCACTTCGTTTATCTGCCTGTTTTTCTCCCCACTGTGTCTCTGGTGAATCCTCTCACCACTCCTGCACCCCAGCCTGTACCCCAGTTATGTATGCATAAATAAATCATAAATCTTATAAGTCTTTTTTTAAAAAATCCAAAACCAAAGCCACGCTTTGAAAAAGATGCTATTTGTGTTTGTGAGGATTAACCAGAAGCTTCCAAGGAGGGCTCTAAGTAAGTTTGTGAGAACCCACTGCTGTGCAGGGCACCTGGCACTTGGCTTCTGCTATTCCCCAGAATTTCACCCAGCTGTTGAGTGAGCCATCAGTTACCTTCTTAGCTTTACTCTCTAACCCATGGTCCTTCCAGAGAGTGATGGGCAAAGTGGAGGCATAATATGGCCATGAAAATTCAGGTGCTTTCTCTTCCCCTACTAAGTCATTTTCCTCCAGGTTATCAGTTAATGGGGGATGTCCAGAGACTTTCTGAAACCTGCCAATATGGCAAAATGAGTAAAATGTATTTTAATTTCTTTCCTAAGAAAATTTTAGGTCCTATTTATAGAAGTTTCCTTAGAAGTCCAGTTTCAAAGGTTGGGTTTTTTTTTTTTTAATAGTTTATTTTTACATCATTTTGCGCCTTTTTCCATCTCACTTGTAATCCCCATGGGCTTCCCATCACCAAATCATCCCTTTGTCATCACCATAGTCCAGTGCACTTCCCCCCAACCCCATTTGATCCTTTTTCCCCACTCCACCCCCGTAAAATGTCTCTGGTATATCGTTGTTCATTATTATTTCTCCCCACCCCGGGCCTCTATGCTCCTGCTATGAATTAAACCATCCTGGGTGGTGGTAGTATTTTTAAGG